GCGTACGTGATGCCTGGCCTGTCGCCGTCCGTGTGCACTGCGCCCTGGGCCCTAGGCACCTGGCGCGCAGCATCCCCAGAGCGTCGGTGCCAGGCGAGACCCTCCCAGTCCTCTTGAACGTGTCTGTCGCAGCGTCAGTCATCGCCCCCGCCCCACAGGCCCACGCCTTTGCCTCCAAGGGAAGCAGGGCTGTTCTGATTTGATATCCTAGTAAAATGACTCAGGTTTTCAACATTCCAGAGAAAGAAAATGTTGTGATATAGCAGAGGCCCGGACTGAGGAAATGCAGAGCGAAATCAATGACATCGCCCACATTACTTAAATGAACAAACACCAGAAAATGTGCCAGGCCGGGTCGTGTGGGGCCCTGGTGGGGCTGAGAGTGGCTTCCCTGTCAAAGGCTTCAAAAGCACGTGTGCCTGCAGATGCTAGCACAAATGAGGAAGCATCTTAAATGAATGGCATCCTGCCCCCTCCAAAGAGCATAAAACGTTGGCACAGGAAGGGGAACTGGCCTTAAGCCTCCAGGCTTCAAGGTCAGTGTTTCAAGGTTATTTTATAATTAAGGTGCTATGTCTGTTGATATATCATTCCTTTGAATCCTTGTCTAAAAATTTGCTTAACCACCTGGTAGTTGGCATACAGGCACTCAGGATAATGGTGCAATAGACAGAATCAGCATTTTCTCTGTTACTCATCCTGGCCCTGCTACTTGTGAGCAGCTATAAAAGAGTTCATTCATTCCGTTAGTCCACACCTCTTCTCAATGGAAAGTATACTTTGAAAACAAAAACTCTAAGAGAAGGTTGTTTGGTTGGTGTCCTGTCAGGTTACTAGGAGATGACAGTTCTCACCTCAGCAGGTAGCATCCTCTTTGATGTCCTGATGCTCCCACCTGGCACATTGGGGCTGCCCTACATTCCTGGCAACCCACCATGGCCGCTTGTATGCCCTCCCTCCCCCTTTCAGGCAGAGCTGTGGCGGTTGACTGTTTTTTCTTGGACTTCATGCAAAACGCCAGATGTTCTATTTTGAGTCCATGTTGGATCTGCCTGAGCGTTTGGGAGCATTTCTTTCCGAGAGAGCTCACCGGAGACATGCTCAGAGAGTCTGGTCTTGGCAGCGGCAGATTTACAGACCCTTAGAGTAGGTTATTCCCAGAGATGCTTTGGGCTGCCCACCATTTCCCCACTTTCTCTTGATTCTAAGTTAGATCAGTGTTGGATCTCCTCTGAGATCCAACAGAAGAATTTTTACAGGTCTTATCTCCAGGCCTAATTACAGGGCTCCAAGACATATGTGTCTTCATTTTGGAGGTGGGGACAAAGACCCACAGTGAGATAATTGACTTAGCTAAGGTTATGTGGCTTTTAAATGGCAGTGGCAGGATTTAAGATAAGTTTTATGACATCTCAATCTAAATGCTTTCCAGGCCATGGTGCTCTGAAGGGACCTTTCTCAGAAAATGCCTTTTTACAGTGACAGCAACCACTTTAAAATACAGTGAGAGTGGCTGAAGTGAAGTAACACTTGATTCCAAAGTGATGAAATGCTTTTGATTCCCAATGGAATTTGCATTATATAATCTATTAAAGAACAACAACACCATAAATCCCCCATCTATATTCCTGACTCGCTAGCCCCACTCATTAGGGAAGAGTATTTCTAAAGCTAACTATTTTTTTTTTTCATTACTTGGGTTTCTTCTGTTGTCACAAGGAATCTGCAGACTTAAACTGATTTTTATTTTAACCTAAAATAAGTTCCCATTGCCAAATGGACAGACATAATCATGACTCAGTACCCACCCTCAAGGAAGATTGTGCCATGTGCCAAAGGTGACTCATCATCTTAGATAACCAACTGTGGGCTTCCAGAGGGGCTGGCAGGGCTGAGAGTTCTGAGCAATGGAGTGGACCCTAAGGGCAGAGTGAACACCAGGCTGAGTCCCTTTTTGCCCGTGGCAGAGTAAATAGCACTCACATAAATCAAGCCGATGTAAGTCTTCCCATTCATGATAAGAATAGCTAAGATTTAGTGACCATTGCTATGTGGCAGGTGCTAATGCTTCACTTTCTAACTCATCCTCATTTGACACATGAGCAAGGGAGCTGTGAGATGCATGGAGTGTACTTTGTACATCTCAGAAGTTTGAGGTGTCATCTGCTAAGCAGTAGGGCTGCAGTGGAAATGGGGGGCCAGACACAGGTGCCATTCCCCAGTGCCTTTCTGGTGCCCAGCGCAAAGGTTGGCAGCTCACTAGGAAGTGTGGACCAATTCCTTCCTCTAGGCATTCCAGTTGTTTTCTTTTCTCATGAAGTCATGTCAATTCACTAAATCTCTGCTAATCCAACGCACTCTTTCATCTCCTGAGCAATGTCTGGGGACAGTGAACGCCTGGAGATTTGCAGTCAGAAATGTGAGGTACTGTGGATGGGGCCCAGGCACCTAGTTGGCCTTCACTGACGTGGATTTCTTGAACATTGCTTTGGGGTCTTGCTTGGGGCGGGGGGGGGGGTTCCTTCTGTGCCGGCCCTGAACTGTGCGGGCATTAGAGCCCAGTAAGATGCAAAGGGCAACTGAGAACAGTGGGCATCTCGCCTCACAGCTCCAGCCCCTTACAATCCTGGAATTCTGTACATTCTGTCCGGGAATCTTTTCTTTTTTTCTTTTGTTTAATATATATTTTTATTGATATCAGAGAGGAAGGGAGAGGACGAGAGACATAGAAACATCAATGATGACAGAGAATCATTGATGGGCTGCCTATTGCATGACCCACCCTGGGGATAGAGCCCGCAACCCAGGCATATGGTCTGACAGGGAACCAAACCCATGACCTCCTGGCTCCTAGTCAACAATGCTCAACCACTGAGCCATGCCGGCCCAGCCTCGGGGGATCTTTTCTGTTTATAGTGTAATAACTTAATGAAAGTGATTGGGTCTAGGAGGCAGAGTGTTAAAATGCTAATGTTAACCTCATGTACACTGTGGGGAGTCTGTGCAATTGCAAAGTTGTCTACAGAAGCAAACACTGTTGTGTGACATTTTGTCATCTTCAAAAAGCATGTTTTCCCCCTTGGTTCAAACCTTTTATCAGGGAGAATTGGGGCCATTTGAATATGATGCACCCATCCACTGGGCTGTCAGAAGCAATTCTAATTAGAGACATGAAGGTAGGGCAATGCCATTCTAAAGGCAGACATCAGAACACAACATTGTCCATCCACTACGACTGTAATTGTGCTGAGAAGGTGTCTGGCTAAAGAACAGATGGCCATGTGTTAAGGAAGCAGTTGAGTCACTTTTCCAGTTACTCTTTTCACCCAGCTTCCTAGGCTGCTGTATTTTTATGTGTTACCAAGTGTCTGCCAGCAGGCCCCTTTATCCCATGTGTCTTCCCCCTGATACTTAGCATGTTGGGGATTACAGTCCTTGTCAGGAGGGAAGAGGCGGCCAAGCTGCTGGGGAGCAGTGCCCGGAGCTTCTCTCTGCCAGCAGTGAGATGGGGTCTTCCATTTTTTCATTTGGAAAATGAAAGTGGAGTCACTCAGCTCTTATCTCCTTCCTCCCCTCCCCCTTCCTGTTCCCCTTCTCAGTGAAAGGCTGAAGGCCACAGGAAGACAGGAAGGCCAAGGAGAATGTGCAAAAGAGAAAGGCATGCCACTGCTCTGCCTCTGGCCCTGCTGCCCCGGGGTCCACACCTTCCTCTCTGTCCTTGCCACGGTGCAGACTGTGATTAGAAGGTCTAGGGGACATATGTACTGCTATTTGTAATACCTTAAACAATAAAATTTTAAAAAGTAATGTTACCCCAATAAATGGAATAAAAAGAAAAAAGAAGATCTAGGGGAGGCCTGTGAATCCACTCCAGCTGCTGGTCCCGCTGGTCAGCTGAGGACACGCTTCAGTCCTGGGTCCACTGGGCGTTTAGGAACCCAGGCAGCTCAGACCCCTCCAGCAGTTTTCTGCGAAGGTTCTCTGACCAGGAGTTTCACTGGATTGTAATATAGGACCCTGTCTATAGAAAGGCGGAAACGAGTCATCAGTGGGGTCAGAAGTTTCTTTTGCTTAGATCAGGGGTGGGGAATCTTTTTTCCTGCCAAGGGCCATTTGGATATTTATAACATCATTCGTGGGCCATACAAATCATCTACTTAAAAATTAGCCTGCTGTATTTGGTCAAACATTTACTTAACTCACCCCTAATGCCTTGGCGGGGCCAGACCAAATGATTTCTCGGGCCTTATAGGGCCCGCGGGCCAGACATTCCCCACTCCTGGCTTAGATGATGGGGGGAAGGGTGCCCTGGGGTAACCCATGCCACCAATCCTCCCCATCTTTAAGCTCTGCTTTAACATCCCAGGTCTGTTTTCATTTAACTGTTCCACAAATTAGCAATGGCCTCGTAGGTGAGGGCAGACCTCGGCCCTCCTCTAGGGCAGTGGCTGTGTGACCTGGGGGCAGATGAACATGGGAAGGAGGCAGACCTGGGTGAAGCCCTGATCCTTGGAGCACCCAGGACAGCCTGTGTCAGGGACCCTCCATCTGACCTGGGCAGTGGCGGCAGAGGCAGCCTGGGGAGGCGGCAGGGGAAGCCTACAGGGGCTTTCAAGGAAGAGGTCAGAGCCAGATGGGCAAGGTTCCTGGGGAGCGGCAGGTGGGGAGGACTTTGGATTTAGCCTGTGTGACCCGGAAGCCACCTGGAGGCACTGGCTGCCTCTCATAGGGGTGTTTTTATGGAGGGGGGCGGGGGGCGGGGGGAGAAGAGGCCAAGTTTAGGATCTCAGGAGGAGCAGGATTGGGCCTTGGGTGGAGGGTTTCGGGGTGGGGCTGGGCACCTGACAGGGCCCCCTCCATATGGAGGAGGGGACCAAGGGGCATGGGATAGGTTTGTAAATGGAGGGTCCGGCCTCTGATTGGGCTCCCTTTGCAGCAGGAAGCAATGCAGAGTAGGGGGTGAGCGGAGGTGGAGGCAGATAGCGTTGGTCAAAGGACATTCTTTACAGCAGTGCTTATCTGCTTACCAAGGGGGAACCAGCAAAAACCAGCGAGGAGACAGGCTACACTGGATATGTGCAGTGGAGTAGTCGCCGCCTTTCAGGAGGTGCTCAGTGCTAATGCACATGGCAGGACTGACAGAGAACTTGCGGCTAAAGGGCAGGTCGGAGCCACTGAGCAGTGGAAATGGGGCTCAGGTGGGGACCCCTGTTCTATGTGTGACTCACCACATTAAACAAGAAGCAGAAGAAGCAGGTGACATTAATTTTAAATGTATATTTTAGTCAACCCAATAGTTCAATCCAGAGCCCATATAAAGAGCATTTAGATAGCTCACCTTATTTTTTCCCAGTGACATTCAGGCTCACTCCACAGCGAGATTCTGGCACAGAGGGTCCCTATTAACTGTTTACGTTGGAATATCACAGAGGGGCTGCTGGCCGTGGTCTCACATCTGCAGCGGAGGCTGGGACACAGCGCGGCAGGCACGCTTCCCCGGCCGCTCGCCAGGCCTGGAGCCGCTTTTCCAGATGTCCGCTTGGCTGCCTCCCTCGCTTCTCTGATTCCCTGAAATAGCGCTTCTCCTGGAGGCCCCAGGCCAGCACTAGCTCCTGGCGGACCTTTGCAGCCCCTCTCTGCACCCCACACTCCAGCCCCGCAGCCCTGCTCTGCATTTTATTCTTCCCCTGACCCCCTTCCTCCCGGCGTCATGTGTTTATCCTGTTATTGTTAGCAGCCAGGACCAGCCCCACCAGGGCCAGGAGCTTCCCTGAATTTCTCAATGACAGAGAGCAGTGCCTGGCCCAGAGAAGACACGCCTTGCATCTTGGGTGGGTGGATGGATGGATGGATGGATGGATGGATGGATGAAAACCCCCCTAGGGATTTATCTAAGTTTTCTGCGGACTTTGAACACAAGACCCAGCAATTTGGATCATCCATGAATCAGAGGCTCTCCCAACTTCATAACTTTGATTCGTGGGGGAGCTAACATCGTTACACAGTTCTCCTTAGGAGTTGTTTTCCTGTCAATTCCTAAATTATTAAAGGGGGAAACTTGATGGAGAACTCTAGTAGCAAGTGCAAGTTAAGGTGTGTTTTAAGTTTGTTTTCTAACATATCCCACACCTTTGCTTTGGTATAAAGATGAAAGCCATGCGAATTCAGGAAGAAACCAGTAAGAGGGCTGAGCAACCTGACTTTATTTTTCAAAAAGGAGATTAAAGATCAAAATGAGCCGAAACCGGTTTGGCTCAGTGGATAGAGCGTCGGCCTGCGGACTGAAAGGTCCCAGGTTCGATTCCGGTCAAGGGCATGTACCTTGGTTGCGGGCACATCCCCAGTGGGGAGTGTGCAGGAGGCGGCTGATCGATGTTTCTCTCTCATTGATGTTTCTAACTCTCTATCTCTCTCCCTTCCTCTCTGTAAAAAATTAATAAAATATAGTTAAAAAAAAAGATCAAAATGAATTGGGAAAGGATTATAAGTACTGAGAAATATGCAGGGAACATGGCTAAATGGGATCCGAAAGGAGGTTTCTCATACTCTTCAGATCACATAGGAAATGACAGAATGAATCCCAGTTATTTTATCAGAATCAACATATTCCTTGTTTCTTACAAATTACTCAAAGTTTAAATTTCACCAGAACAGAATCTTAGGAAGCATTTGGAAACCTGGAGTCCACCCCACTCCCTGATTCAAAGAAGAAATCACTTAGTGACTAGCTTACCTACATGATGGTTTAGCAAGAAGCTGTTAATAGGTAATGTCAAGAATAACCAATGGACACAGACAGTAGGGGGCATGTGCTGGGGGCGGGAGTGGGTGGGGAGAATTCAATGGGGGGAAGAGGAGACATATGTAATACTTTCAACAATAATTTAAATTTAAAAAAGAAAGAAAATCTAACAATCTACTCTTTCTATTGTATCTAAAGTAATTACCACACACTTCCCACTTAACTCCTTCCTAATTTTTTTCAAACTTTATTTTTGGTTCCCATCACAGTATTGTACATCCCCTGAGGACTGGGGTTTAAATTTTTGCAAACGAGGAGGACATTACTTTCCAAATATGAGGATTCTTACTCGGTGGCAGGATTGCATTGCCCCATGGAAATGATTGTGAAAGCTGTTTTAATTCCCAGGTCTGGCTACCAAAACCAAAACAAAAGCAGAGTGAAAGGCCCCGAACTGTGTGTTCTGAGTGGATGACTCTGAGCCCCAGGACAGTGCTCTGCAAAACAGTGAAACCAGAACCTGGCCCTGCTCATGCAGCAGACTGTCAGACCCCAGTGCAGGGGCCGGTGTCGATCCCTGGCTTTTTCTGTGTTCCTCGGTGTTTGTCCTCCAGGGTGCTCCTCGGAAGGCAGCCACCTGGAGGGTCCAGCCCCTGCAGCATTTTGGGTCCCAGCTGTGCACCCAGGTGAGGAGGAGAGCTAGTAACCAAATGGGCCCCACACCAAACAACAAAACTGGAAAGGCACTTTTTTCTTAAAGTTCCCTTTGGTGATTCTAACGCACAGCACAGCCATTGCTCTAGGGCAGCGGTTAGGGCAGCAGTTCTCAACCTGTGGGTCGTGACCCCTTTGGCGGTTGAACGACCCTTTCACAGGAGTCGCCTAAGACCATCCTGCATATCAGATATTTACATTACAATTCATAACAGTAGCAACATTACAGTTATGAAGTAGCAACGAAAATAATTTTATGGTTGGGTCACAACATGAGGAAATGTATTTAAAGGGCCAGAAGGTTGAGAACCACTGCCCTAGGGAATTAGGTCTTATTATAAGGTAAAATAAAATGAAGACCAAGGTTTACACACCAGCTTTGCTTCGCCATTTATTAATTTTGCTCATGTGGCTATCAGTTCATCTGCTCAGAGCCCAACCTCCCGTCTTCCCAGGAGCACCCAGGCCCCTGAGGCTGTCTTGTGCATCAGCCCAGGTGCTGGGGCACTAAGCTCAGTCCCCCCCCCCCCACTCTGAGCAGAGGACGCCCCTCAGGCCCAATCAGGAGGCTGCTAGCTCCCAGCTGGGGGAAAGGCCAGCTGGTTTTACTAAATCACAGGACCTAGGAAGTGAATAAAGCCTGTGAGGCTGGGTGCTACTGCTCAGAGGCAGTTTACCTCCTGGGAGCTTGGTGAGATGGCGGTGCTCAGGGTCCTCCCCTGCCTGGGAAACCCCTGGGGCCGCTGCAGGAGGAGGGGTGACAGGCCATTTCGCCTTGAGTACAGCTGCACCCCAAGAGGCAGGGGCAGACTGAAGCCAAGGAGCTGACGTGAGGATTGTTCAGACCATGTGGGACAGAGGTCGGCGTTGGGCAGGCTTTTATTGCACAGGGATCTCCCAGGCTCACCTCTGGATCATGTCCCCCTTGTCACAGTTTCACTCTTGCTGTTTCTTATCCACTTCTAAAACCCCCAACTTGTCTGTCGTCTTTTATCCCGCTTTTATGAAGGTTTCCCTTCCCCCGCCCCTCCCCCTTGGGAACAAGGGCTACAGGAAGGGGGTAGTGGGGGTATCAACCTTGCAAATCTCCCCGAGACAAAGCATTGGTGTGGTGTAGCGTTGGGTGGTTAATTTAGCAGTGACAGTGGCCACAGCAGAATACAGGCCTAGACTCAGGGAGCCTGTTGGGGGGGACCCCGAGGGCTTGTTTATCAGGTCAGGTCTAAGGATTGAGGAGGCTCCATGCACACCTGACCCTGTGAGCAGGGAGATGTGGGCCTAAACCTACACAGGATTCCTTTTTCTCCTCATCCTCGCTAGCACTTGTCGTTTGTTGATTTGCTGATG